GCCCGCAGCCTTTGCCAGGGTAGCTTCGCATAAAAACGTCATGGCTAGATTTTCTTTCACTCACTCACATGCCTTTCTCTGCTCTGCTCTCCTCTGGCGTGGTAGTCCTCCCGTGCGGAAAGTTCGAATCAGAAGACGAGAATGGTTTTCTAGTAGGCCTCGTCAGCCTCTGCTTTCTTCTACTACCACTACCATCTAGTAGTAGTACAACACAGCCAGCGAGGTACTTGTAGTGTTTTTGGTGATGAATCTCCGATGATCTTGTTCTCGCAAATTTTCGTGTTTTGACCCTTTTGAAATAGTTTAACCGGATCTGACCCCGGTTCGATTTTTTTTTACATTTGACCATTTTTCTTAGCGCGACACAGCATGGCGGTAGGTATGCATAGGCTACCGCTAGAAACTGCGGCGGTAGCTGACTAATCCCCGTCAGCAGGCAACTGACGGCCGCCGTGAGCTCTACTCGACCCTACCGCCACAGGGTCCGACGGTAAGATGTGAGACCCTGCCGCCGGACTGTCTGGCGGCAGGGTTGGGGCACATGTAAGCCTGATGCCGATTTGCCCTCCCCCTCCCCATCTCTCCCCACCTCGCCGCCCTCTCTGTTCTTCCTCTCTCTCGTCCCCTCCACTCTCCCCCTCGGATCTCTCTCGTTTCTTCGCCATTCTTGCGGATCGAAATGGCTCCGAAACGAGTAATGTAAGCTTATTCTATCCATCCAATTAGTTTTTCTCAAATAGCTTCCGACTCGATGTATTATTTGATTCACGCCCACCCTAGTTCATGTAAAAAGAATCTTGATATGATGCTTATTGAAGGAATGAACTCATAGGTTTGTTTTGATGTGATGAACCTTGATACATATCAACCATATGAACCTTTGTGATGAATCTTGATATGTATTTACTTTTTTTTGAACTACATGATGAACCCTAGTTCATGTTCATGTTAAAAAAAATCTTGATATGCTTATTGAAGTATTGAACTCATAGGTTTTTTTATGTGATGAACCTTTGTGATGCATCTCAACCATTTGAACCTTTGTGATGCATCTTGATATGTATTTACTTATTTTTGAACTACATGATGAACCCTAGTTCATGTTAAAAAAATCTTGATATGCTTATTGAAGGAATGAACTACATGATGTGATGAACCTTTGTAATCAACCGTATGCATATAGTGGATATTGGAGAAAGATTGTATGTATTTACTTATTTTTTACAAATTGAAGAAATGAATGAACAGTGTTAAAACAATCTTATGCAAAATGAATGAATGAATGAATCATGCTTATGAGAATCATGTTTACAAATGAATGAATAAAAAATGTCACAAATGTGTGTTGAATTATGCTTATGCTATTTTAATTATGCGTATGCTTATGTTTATGCAATTTTATTTAGGAGGTCACCTCTTGCGGGCAACATCGGCACTAACTATACCCTGCTTGACCCTGCGTTCGATAAGGGTCATCGTGCCTGTTTCATTGAGAATGGAGTGGTAATTACCATTCTTGAACCAAATCTTTCAAATTGATGAAACACAAGTTGCTAATTATTTGCTTCTTCATTTTGACAGATGATCCCGCCACTACGGATGAGGGGTCACAAGACGACGCTAAGATGGAGTACGACGACCGGTACGCGCCGTTCTACAGGAGAGCCCAAGTGTTGGATTACGTCCTACAGTTCAAGCGTAAGCCACCAACGCTCGTCCACTCAACTCTCACATCTTTGATCAACCGGTGGCGGCCAGAGACACACAGTTTCCATCTTCCATGTGGGGAGATGACGGCGACCCTCCTGGATTGGGGGATGATTAAAACCCTACCGCTCGAGGGTCGTGCTCTCACTGGACGAGTGGAGAGGAAGAACTGGCATGATAGGGTTATCACCCTCATCGGCGACTGCCCTCCCCTCCCC